GCCCCTAGACGAGGAAAGGGCCCCCGCGGGCGAGGAAAGGGCCCCCGCGGGCGAGGAAAGGGCCCCTGTGTGCTCTGCCCTGTGTTTGCAGGGGGCCTGAGGTCTGCAGCCAGCCTCTGACTAATGTCAGGATTCAGACCTTTTCCTCAGAATTCTCTGAATATTATTTCACGTGGCCCAAATTCTCTTCGGTAAAATACACAGTTTATGAAACTGCTTTGCAGTCAAAGACTACCTTCAAAATACACTAACTATTAAAACGCTGCCTCCAAATCTTTGTCAAACAAATCCTAAACATCAACAGGACTACTGAGGGGGACCCAACATACTGGTATTTCACAAATACAATTCAGAAAAATTCAAGAACCAACTTACTGGACTAACTGTGATAATGAACTGTCAAGTGAGTGCTTCTCAATGTGTCCTAATCGAGATCATCACTGGGAGCACTGGTAGGGCCTCTCTCCTGTGTGAATCTGCTGGTGGACCTTTAGGGTTCCTATTCGACTGTAGCTCTTCCCACACTGGGAGCACTGGTAGGGCCTCTCTCCTGTGTGAATCCGCTTGTGACTCTCTAGGTGTCCTAATTGAATGAAGCTCTTCCCACACTGGGAGCACTGGTAGGGCCTCTCTCCTGTGTGAACCTGCTGGTGTCTCTTTAGGGTTCCTATTCGAATGTAACTCTTCCCACACTGGGAGCAATGGTAGGGCCTCTCTCCTGTGTGAATCCGCTGGTGACTCTCTAGGAGTCCTAATTGAATGAAGCTCTTCCCACACTGGGAGCACTGGTAGGGCCTCCTCCCTGTGTGAATCTGCTGGTGTCTCTTTAGGGTTCCTATTCGACTGAAGCTCTTCCCACACTGGGAGCAATGGTAGGGCCTCTCTCCTGTGTGAATCCGCTTGTGTGTCTTTAGGGTTCCTAACTCATTAAAGCTCTTCCCACACTGGGAGCACTGGTAGGGCCTCTTCCCTGTGTGAATCCGCTGGTGTGTCTTTAGGCTTTCTAAACGTTGGAAGCTCTTTCCACACTGGGAGCACTGGTAGGGCCTCTCTCCTGTGTGAATCCGCTGGTGTGTCTTTAGGTTTCCTAAATGTCCGAAGCTCTTCCCACACTGGGAGCACTGGTGGGACGACTTCTTTGTGTGAGGCTGCCTGTGTATTTTACAGTCTCTGTTTATATTGAAAGTCATCTCACCCTGGGAACCCTGTTGTGCTGTCAGTGTGTCTGTACTGGCTTCTTCCAGGGTCCTGATTGTGTCTGTACTGGGCTGAGCGGCACAGGGACCAGCAGAAGTTGGTGAATCCTGGGTTGTGTAGACAGATCTAGTCCTCAGTTGTCTGACATACTCCTTGGGGTGAGATATTTTGATATGTCTGTGCAGGTCAATGTCTGCAGTGTAGGAGAATGGATCCTGAGAGCAAGCAAAAGTTTTGGAGGATTCATCCACTCTCCTTGCTGGGGGAAGATGGAGACACGGCAGTCAGTACTGAGATGGAACAGGTTTAAAAGAGAAAAAAGAAATCAGGAAAATAGTGAGCAAGGCAAACATATCTTCCAAAGAGCCTTCGTTACTCCATACGCAGTTCATATTCACAGTGTGCTATTCACACTGCAATCTCTGATATGCCTGAACTGAACTGCACAGAGCATCAACACTGCTGGTTTGAAATGGCAACATGAAGTACAAACTATTGCCTCCAAATACACCAAAACAATTGCAGTTTTGATGGTAGTTACAATTGCACATATGCTGGTAGTTAAAATCACCTGGGTTTGGAGGTTTCACACAATCTTTGCTCCTCTCATCAGTGTGTAACGAAAGAGAACCAGTCAGCTCCTCCTCAGTCACATCCTGAACCGCTGCGTCCTTCATCTTCAGCCATAAAAACCAAACAAGGCAGAATAAGCCGTTCACTTCATAATTTTATACAGGCTGTTCTATTTGCTTAAAAGAGAAATAGGAGCAGATAGCAAACTAAAATCATTTTCAAGCCACACAAACTGCACTTTTTTCCTTTTCTGGCATAACCTATATTTGGCTGCTTTTGTGATTAACACACAAAAATTAAACCACCTCTGAATGGACAAGTGACATTTGTGAAGAGACCCACATACACTCCATTTCACCTTTCGGGGGCTTTCGTTCACAGTCCCTTCAACCTCAGATACCAGGAATTCCCCCTCCTCTTTGTTACCCTCTCCAACTCCCTGCTGGGAAGGTTTCTGGTTCGTGCGGCAGCTGTTTTCACTGCAGGAAGGCATCTGCTGAAACCAAAATGAAATTAAACACTGAGACAGTGCCAGTTAGTCAGTGTGTTGTAATGCACAGCCAGCAACAGCTTGAGTTGACCACAAACAGACCCTCCTTCCCTGGTCTGTGGCATACGATTCTGACCCCACAGCAGGGGTTTCGTTCTGATCGGACCACCAGAATACAGATTGGAAAACTCCTGGATGCTGAAGACACAAATGAAGATTTCAGGCAGACTGCATCATCTATAGGCGCTTTCAACGTCGCTCAAACTATTTCCGGAACCAGAACCAGTTACCTTTGTCATGTTTACTGTAGGAACTCAGCCCAATTGTAGTTCCTTGGAGGCAGTTCCAGAACTCTTTTCTAGTACCTACTCCAGACTAAATATAATTTGCTCAAACACAAGCTACTGGGGAGACACTTGCGATTAACTTGCTGAATGGTCGACCACAAGCACCAGCGCAAACTTGGAAGTTACATGGAAGTGCAGAAAATGAGATGCAGCAGAGCAAAAATTGGGGTACAAAAGTAATTCCATTTATGTATCAAGTAATACAATTTTCACATGCATCTCCAAATGTCTGCATCAGAAAATTCTATCACTACCTAATACAGTTTTGTCTAATAAAGCCGGTGCCAGTGGTGAAACTTGCCATCGCTTATTAGCAGGACAATGCTACATATTTTTTTATTCTGCGGAGAATGAAAGCTCGATCTGCTGGCCAGATTTAATTAAAATAAGGAACATGTCATGGGTTATTAGCAAAAATATAAATAAAAGGCAGTGTCTTTTTTTGATCACGATTGATCACCCAATAAACTGACAACTAACTAAAAGGACTCATCCAGCCTCCATTATTTTGGCATGGTGGCAAAGTTGCGTATGAAAATTATGTGTAACGTTAAACTTACAAACGTTTTGCACCTTCCATGCTTTAGCATAAAGGTCCTAGTTCCTGATGCGTGTTGTGAAGGCCATACACAAAAACAGCCTGGAGATACAAAAGTTCCTGGCCCAGGAACTTATGGCGCTTTTCCACTGCATAGTACGGCACGACACGGTTCAGTTCAGCTCACTTTTGGGGGGTTTTCCACTGGGAACAGTACCTGGTACCTGGTCCTTTTTTTAGTACCACCTCAGCCGAGGTTCCAAGCGCGCCGAACCGTTACCAAAACGTGACGTGTAAACTCTACTGGTCACTGATTGGCCGGAGAAAATCGTCATTACTGCGTCACTGAACTTGCGAC